AGCAGTCCAGGATCTACTATGCTTTCTACTACCTCTTAGGCCATATTGTGAGTAATCTCTATAGGGTCTTTAGAGGTTGTCTCAGGAATGGCAATAGAGGTAACCCTCGAAGAATTTGGAGTTGCTGTAGGAATGACAGAAGATGTGACCACCTAAGGATCTATCTTTATCTTAGGTATGGCAGTAGAGGTAGTCACTTGAGGGTTTAGAGTTTGGGCTTCCAACCCTCCAAGATAAAGGGGACTCATTACACCATCATCTAAGTTAGCTAACAAGATCATGGTGTGTTGGCACTTTTACAAGCACTTTTCCCTTTGGAGATTTAGTTCGATCAGAGGAGGTGTGGATAAAGACTAATTAGGAGGCACTAGTAGAGGTGATATCTTTTTCCTCCTCTTAGAATCAGACAAGGGGGACGGAGCTAATTGTTTCTTGTCAAATCCATCTCCCTTGTCCAAGTAGCTTGAGGGATGACTCTTTTTGGGTCCAGGCTTATTCGAGACCAAGACATGAGAGGATGCATTGTCCTTCTCAATTTCTTTAACTATAGATCTCAATGAAGGGGCTGTCTGGGTTTATAAAGTAGCAAGAGCATCAATGTTCCCCCTTAAGAGATTCACCAACGCATGTGATTGTGTCTAATCATGGCCTGTAAAAATTTAAAAACAGGTTAGAATATGTCAAATAGTAAAAGGGCAAGCACAGTAGACAATACTTACTGGTATGGCTCTTTATAATGCTTTTGAAGTACTTAAGCCACTATTTGTTAAAGTGAAGGCAGGCATCTCTATCCATCAATTCCACCTTGCGTTGATTTTGAGTAGTGTGTGGAATGGCCACTTGGTTGATAGCTACTGGTCTAGTAACTCTACATTAACTTAGGAGGACAAGCCTCAGGGTATGTACTTGCTCAACCCAAACTGGCCTACCACTAGTTGAGGGTGATATGACTCAAATAGACCTTCAAGGATTTAGAGGAAGAGCCAGCATAGGGAAGACACATTTTCCTAAGAATTGTGGCTGGGAGAAAAACATTGTCCCTTAACAACAAGGGGGCTTATTCTTCTGGTCCACTAAAAATTTGTATTGTATAGGGAGGCAGCAGTCCGGAATGTTAAAAGGCCTTAAGGTCCTTCACAAGGACTAGTTTTGTCAATAGAAAAAACTTAATGAAATTCTTCAATTCATCCAGAGGATGAGCACCCAACAGGAAAGTGAGGGTGAGCGATGTGGACATCCTTGGGGAAAGGTTCCTGATGGAGTAGAGGGAAGTAAGCAGTTGTCCACAGCTTCAAGAACCAAATGGGCTTGTAGAAATTACTGAAGAGCTTCTTCATCAAGGATTCCCTCATACCGTCATATAGATGGTATAGAAACATAGTCCCTAAGGCTAGTTGGTTACCATAAAGAAGGGACTGAGTAATTCACAAATGTAGTTGCACGAGCTTTCTTCCCTTAGAGGTCAGGATCTATTAGTTTAGTAAGATCCAAATGAAGACTAGATGCTCTATGGGGGTGACAAGCTCATCAGCTAGCCTTTTAGAGAACAATTTCATGACCTTTGTGTAGGAGCCAGCGCCCTTAATCTTGTTCTCCAAGTCAGTCGAAAGAGTAACATAAGAGTCATGCCTTTCAAGGATGGCATAAAAATTCTCCTCCTTGGTGATCAATAGCCCTAAGTACATAAACATGTCCCAAAGCATGATCAACATGGGGCTCAACTTGAAGATGAAGGCATTGTAACTGGGTGCCTAAAAACTCAAAAGGGATGTTAGTAGATTGACCGAAATGTCAATGTCGGCCAATGAGAGTTAGATTAGGTCATAAATGCCCATCTCTTTCCACTATTGTTTGTGAGTCTGTCTCAAGCACTTCACCCAATTGGACCAAGTGCGAGGAGACCGAGGCTAGTTTTAAAGCTTTCAACAAGATGATTTAGTGAAAGTAAGTCATCCAGGCCAAAATCAAGTTGCGGACTAAGCTTAATGGCCATAGATTTGGCAGGGTAGGAGCGGTCACTTTAGAGAGGTCAGGAGACATGGTCAAATACCCAACATCACTCTTGTTAGCAATTTAAAAGCTCCAGTGAGAAGTATTGGAAAGTCAAAAAAATCAATATTTTATCCCTAAAAAAATATAAGGACCAAATAGAAAGAGAGAAGTTTACCAGAAGTCGATGAAGTCGTGGAAAGAAGAATCCTCCTGAAATAAAAACGGGGAGGCATCAGATTAAGAGACTAATCCAAAGAAAATATGAGTTCAATAATAAAGTACATACTATTGTCAATCCTCCTATTGAAGCAACAAGATTCCGGATTGTGACTAAGGAGTTAGGTAAACTTTCAATAGGAGTATTGGAAAGGGTAGTAATGGATGCGGTGGTAGTAGAAGAGGAAGCTGTTTAGGCAACAGAAAGAGTGGAGCTAGAAAAGAAAAAGATTAAACAACAAGAAATAGTAAGAAGGGCAAAGGGAATGATCAGAAATCGAAATAAGAATTTATATTAACAAAGGGCGCTCAGAGATGAAGCAACATTTCATTTTTTCAAATGTACCACATGGCTTACATTTATTAGCCACTAGCATGCAGGGGACATTTATTAGCCACTAGCATGCAGGGGATATTATTTAGGCTAAATATGAAAATTCACTTGCCAAAGTATTGGGTAGGTCATAAAGCCATATGGGCTAAGTGATTGAAGAGTTAGGCCTAATAAACCATTTGAATAAAGAGTCCAGCCCCAAGTTCAATAAAAAGCTATAACTAGATAAGTATGTTGAAATCTTGCCAGTTGCAAATCTACTTTGTAGATCGTTGGTACATAAAGATACAATCTCAAACGATCCTAAATCTTGCAAGCATAGCATTATCATGCCTAAATATTTCTACGAGACGAATTGGTTACCAAAAATGGAAGACAATGAGTGAAAACCATGTCATGAGTTTCACGAAATCCCTAATTCTTCAAAAGAACATTCTAGGTTCTAAGGTAAAGGATGCCATCACTCTATCACTATAAATAGAGTATCAAAGCATAGAAGAGGGAAGCAGTTCTTAAGTTTATCAATTAGCTTTGTCTTCAATTTAGACTTGTAATTGTTTTACATTTTAATAATAGCGAAAACATTTATTCTACCAAGTCTTGCATATTTTTTACATTTGGGTAAACTGTGGTAAGAGAACCCGAGAACCCTTTTTATTATCAATTGAGACTTAGCGTCTTTAGCATGCTTGGTAACTTGTTGTTCACCGACGACCAAGATCTAATCAACCTCTTCAAAGTCTCTAATGTTTTGTTTCTTCTTTTCCTCTTCATTTTTCTTTTATCTTCATTTTAAAATTTAATATTGTCAAATAATATTTTATAACATGTCACCTCTAATATAATATTTAACATAAAAAATTTAAAATATATTAAATTAATAATGAGCAGTTTGATCATGATTCAACTACAATCCAACTATTAACTATTGAATAGGTACTTTATCCGGTTTAATAACCGGTCCTATTTTTAAAATCTTGATTTTTAAGTGGCAAAACACACAAATAGGATTGAACGTTTTTTATGATCAGCCCAATGGGGCAGGGAACCAATAGGTTACATTTTCGTTTTGGTAGAATAGACATCTAGCAAACAGTAATAAGAAGGAAAAATGTATATATTCATAGTCTAATATATTTAAAATTTTTTTTTTAATTAAATCAAGATATGTGAGTCTTTAAAAAATATTTATTCTATGACAAGTTCTTGTTGTTAATATTATCAACATATTAAAATTCACTTTTTCTTCATTTAATTGAATAAAAATATATTAAATATATAAGGTTAACTACATTAGTCTTCCCCCAATAAAAATATCTAGATGAAGCTTCTTATTGTTCGTACGTGTTAAATAAATCACATATTAACGACTAATTAATTATATGGCTGACTAGTGACTACTACTACAGGTTGTATTTTTATTATTATATTATTATTACTATTAAACCCTACAGTTTGAATTATTGAGATCAAATATAGGAGCTCCAGGTTGGCTGTATTAGAGAGAATGAAGAAGTCATAGTGATGGCCGATGGGAATTTGCTAATGTTATCAGTGGGGATTTGGATTTAAATTTATACCAAATTCATTATTTGACTACATACAATTCCTTAATTTTAAATACATTTTAAATACTTAATTTACTCTAATTATTTTAAATCTCGGCCATCTTTTGACACAAGTAGGACAATTCATTATTATCATTGTAAATTTTTAATACTATCTAGATTAAAAAAAATTAGAGTAAGAGAATAAATTGACCTCTAAATTATATGTTCATGAGTTGTTAGTATCCTACATTCATTTTTGATAGAATGTCTTTTTAACTTTTGAAAATAGTACAATCTAACCCCACCACTAACAAAAGTTAATTTTGATAGTTAATTGATTATGAAATGACAGACAATAACATACAAAAATACAAAAAATAATTAAATAATTATAGTAAATGACTCAAAAATTATAAACAAGAACCTAGCAAATTTTGTTGGCCTTTTTTTCTTTCATTTGTAATTTTGAGGCCCTTTTTTTATATCATTTTCTAGTTAACTTGGTTAAAGGTAACTTTTGTTAACGATAAACGTTAGATAATATAATTTTTTAAAAGTTAAAGAAGAATATTGTACAAAAAAAGAATTTAAGATTTCAGATGTTCTTGAACTTATAGTTTAGAGATAAATTTACTCTTTTACTCAAAAATTTTAAATACATGAATTTAAAATTTACAACTTTAAAATTTAGTCTATCAATCCAAACCTTAATTAATTATATATAGCTGAGATATTATATATAGCTGAGATGCTTCATATCGTGCAAGGTCAAGTCGCCAATTTCTTGTTAGCCTTATTTAATATCCTTAATTACAACTCATCCCAGACTAAGCTCAGACAACGCGTCAGCAATGTTCACCATTCATCAACGCTGCCAATTTTTATTTATTCTGTTTCGAAGACCACTATTGTCTAATTTCTTCACACGTGGATGATTTCAATTGCTTCTTTCACGATCCAATCTAGTGGCTACAAAATGATCGAAGGATTGAAGGCATAGCTTGTCCCTTAAATGAATGTCGCTCTGAAAGTGAAACAATCAAGTCTCGTTCTTCCATAGTTTCACGGGATAAACAGTAACCTTAGTTTGCTTTCGAGTTTCGAGTTTGATCTTTCACAAAATCAAAACACTATCAATGGACTCATCACCACCAGTCAGCTGGTTTTCTGACCTGGTATGCTGAAAACAAACTCGATAAATTCCTAGTGGTTTAATAATTCTGTATGCGCACGTTTGAGCATTTCTTTGCTTCAATGATTTCATGCTGATTTAGCAGTTTGTTTGTCATACCAGGAAATGGATGCTCATTACGATTTGTTTCCCACGCTGTGCCACCTGAACTGTGTCGATGATGATCAGTTTATTTCACAAGACATAGCCAGTACTGTTCTTCTGGGACAATACTCGCAGCCATCTTTGTCTTGTGAGAGCTACTCTTCACATAATTCATGCACTACTGCTGAGACCAATCATTGTTGGAGCTCCACCATATCTGATCCTTCGTCTTCTTCTCAACTCGTGTCCTTCGATCACTCTATTAACTCTTCATCCCCTACTTTGAAGCCAAACAACGAAGAGTCCTCAGGTATACAGTATTTCTCAGTTCAATCCCTTAATGGGTTTTCCCAAAGTCACAACTTTGAAGCCAAATCCAAATCCTCTCAAGGCATCAACAGGCCCGTTCCTCACGTCAGTGATCACATCATGGCTGAGAGAAAACGAAGAGAAAAGCTCAGCCAGAGCTTCATTGCTCTTTCTGCACTCGTCCCTGGCCTCAAAAAGGTATATACTCTATATATATGCACACATTCCTGCGATAATTAAATATATATTTCAGTAAATACCAATTAAAGTGAAAACATGTTATGAAACACAGATGGACAAGGCTTCGGTGCTTGGGGACGCAATCAAGTACGTGAAGGAGCTGAAGGAGAGATTGAGTTTCCTGGAAGAACAGAACAAGAAAAGAAGGGTTGAATCTGTGGTGACGTGTGAAAAGCTAGAGAGTGTTGGTGAAGAAGAAGGACCATGGCTTCCTGAAGTGGAAGCAAGAGTGTTGGAGAAGGAAGTGCTGATTCGAATCCATTGCCAGAAACAGAAGGGACTTTTGGTGAAGATACTTGCAGAGATTCAGAAGCTTAATCTCTTTGCTGTCAACAGCAGCGTCTTGCCCTTCGGGGACTCCAATCTTGACGTCACTATTGTTGCTCAGGTACAGAAATTAATTCCTAGCTCGTCTCAAACAAAACTTAACTAACGAATCAATCAACCAAGCCTCAGGGATCAAGATGATGAAACAGAAACATGGTTGATTACTGTTTTATGCAGATGGGGGAAGGTTGCAGCTTGACGATAAGGGATCTCGTGAAGAACCTGCGAGTGGCTATTTTAAGTGCATGTGAAATGTGAGTCCGATGGTGCGGCCAGATATGATTAAAAACTGTGACTCAATTGATTAACCTCTTTATATTCTATAATTTAGGAGATTTTCAGGATCATGCCCGTGGGCGGATCTCATCCCAGTTTGTGGGCTTATTTTGTTTTTCCAAGAGCTCATTTAATCGGCCGCATAAAACTGACGGCAACTCCCACTTATCAAGCATGGGCTTGGCAATATGTTTGATCTAAGAGACTAATTTCTTACAATGGGGCAAGTCAATATTTGAATCCTACTAAAAGAATTGCTCATGTTTGGTATTTGATTATTCTTTGAATAAGATTGTCTTTGATAAGAATATACATGAATGCCCTGGAAAAAAAAAAGAAAAGAAAAAAGGCATTGGCTTAGAACTTATTAGATCCAGATTTTTTTGGGAAAAAGTTTTTTTTTTTTAATTTTTGGGGGTGTGGGGGATGGTCTTGTCTCCAAATCAAATCGTGTACGCTTCAAATGCACACAAAATTTGCAAAGTACTGAATTTACTTTGTGTACATGATATGTGAACAGTGCAAAAAACAATTAGATCGGGTGTACATTTTATTTCAAATTAATTACATTCGTACAATTCAAATTTTATTATCATTGTATTTTTCAATTTAAATTATAAATTGGCAGTCAGAAAATTAACTTTTGGATACTACATTTAAAGTAAAAGAAGCATTAAACTTTGATAAAAAGTAATAAAAAAAGATCATTTAGTTGAAATAAACAGCACATGAAAGATGCCTGTATCTACATCTTGAATCTGTCTCTCATTATTTAGGGTAGGTGTTATAATTCAAAGAACATTTGTCAGAAAAATACTTACAAATTACAAACAAGCGTTGGTTCTAATGAGAGGAACTATAGCCATGTAAGTATGAGGCTTTTGGATTTGAGTTAATTATGCGTAGAAAACGTGTTTTGGAAATTGAGTTATCCCCAATTGTGCCTGTTAATGCTCGAATCTAACTCAATCATCCATATAAAAAAAAAAAATACTCACCAATTACATATAAATAAAATCATTTATAAAGATTCAAACTCATATATGGACCCATTTGGGCATATAACTCTCAATTTTTGAGAAGCATTTTCTCACTTTTTAAAAGGTATTTTTTGAGCGCGCAGACTGGCTTTTCAGATTTTCCTCAAGAATGTTATTGAAAGTAGATTCAGCAAATCTAACTTTGGCTAGCTTTTTAACTGACTTCCCAATCTTTTTCTCTCCCCCTCCAACACTTCCGTTCTTTTTTCATAATCTTCTCTCTCCCTTGTATTAATTTTGTTTAACGTCAATTGATATAAGAGGCACACGGGGCACCATGTCTACATTTTTTTGGTCCTTATTTTATTTTCCTTAATGATTTTTGGGTTAACATGTAATTTGAACCCTAAGCTATAGGTGCAGGTTGATTTTTGTAAAATTTGACTTTACTAAACACAATTAATTAATATAACTCATGATAATCAAAGGATTAATTCAAAGAGTGATTATCAAGCTTAATTCAAAAGTAAGGGTTCCCAAAATTTTTTTTATAATCACAAGGAGTTTAAAACAATTAAGATATCTTCTATTAGAGTAAAATAAGTTACAGAAGCATGTGATACATTATAGGAGTGAAAAAAATCAAAAACTAGTGAAAATAACTCTTTTAATATGTAGCAGGGCAATGTGCCGCGGCATGTTGCACATAAAAATTAGTAATTTCTATTGTCATTTGATAGCAGAATTGAAAAAATTTCAACATGTCCCAATTCTCCGTCCGATATCTGAATGATATGATTTAGGTGTCTATAAAAAGATTTTTACATGAACTAGCTAATGGCACGAGTTTTACTTTCAAAACAAGTCACATCAGGAATTTGAACACTCAGACACATTTTAATCACTTGTCACAATTTTCACATAAAATAAGTATTCAAAACCCTCAACAAGTGCCAAAAGCCTTTCTTAACACCTGGACCATGTCTATTGGATTTAAGACTACTAGTACAACACATCATACACACCAAAACACAAGTATAGCATAATTTCACTCCTCAACCTCATTTTGCCAAAAACAGAGGGGAAGGCAAATTTCTATTACATTGCATCAAAAATCATTATAACATGTTCAAATCATAATTTTTACACGTGCAATAGTATTTTAGCCCTATAAATATATATATATCTCAACAAACACAATTACTAAGGGCTTAAAATACAAATCAAACATTTGTAACAACAAAATAGTACAAGTGTAATGGCATGCAACCTAAAATTAGCAAACATAAGCTATTACACAAATGAATCTAAACTAGAGGCATACTATAGAAATGTGCTAATTCCTAGCCTCTCGAGTCTTCTCCCTCTCGGCACTAAAGTTAGAGCCTGAAAAGTGTTAAATGAAAGGGGTGAGTCTAGCCACTCAGTAACTAAGGTAAAACCTACCCTATGCAGTTATATATTAATTATAAAACAAGCATATGCATATGAAATTAAGCACTTAAAACATACTCACACATATCAAACTCATCATTTCTCATTTAATAACTTCTTTATCTCACATATACTAGTTGCATTGTCACCATATTCTTATATATGTGACATAACCTCTTATTCACACGACTTGCCACAACTCAACATGCGTGACACGTCATATATTCATATAAGCAATGATCAACCAACCTTATAACCTCCTTATTTTCTTAGACTGAAATTGTAGGTTATAACATTGAATAGGGCTTTATCCGTGTGATTGGACTACTTAAGCTTAGCAATTGTAAGGTGTGACCCGGCTAAAGATCACATGACTCACTCTTAAACTATGGCTTCCCCCATTCTTGAATTTTTAGGGTGTCTCATACCCTAGACTATTCTCCTCATTAAACTGGTAGAGAAAGCTAGGTTCTAATCTCTCAACAGACTATAGAACAATCCCTCAAAAAACTATGGGATAAGACTATACCCTCGTACACCAGAGGGCGGCCTAAATATTATAGAGATTTTTTCTCTACTCCCAATTTCTAAGCAAACTCCCGCCCACTGATCATGCCATAAATGACACTCACTCATTTTTACATTTTCATTTATTGTTTATCACATTCACACATTGGGTTCACGATCATGCACTATCTAAGTGAGCATCCAATAACATTTCATCACATTCTCCTAATTTATCACACTAATTCATTTCTTCATTAACACACATTTACCTCAACACAACACCACATTAGTCTTCCCTAAGACATGCATGTTCATAGTTTAAAACTAGCTACTTTTCACATTTTGCATTTCAAGCCAAAAATAACATTATGCACATTCAAATTTTCATACACTTATTGAAGCTAATACATGATTTTACATTAAAAATCAATCCATGCATGCAACATTCACAATTAGAAATCTATTTACAATCAATTAATATATAACTACTCAAAGTAAAGTTCCTTTAGTTACCTTAAATCTTTTGAGAGGTTAAAAGTTTATCCCTTAATATAAGAGCTTCCAAGATTGAATTCCCAAGCCAAATAGGTGATCAAGAGTCAAGACTACAATCAACAAATTGAATTTCATCAATATTACTAACTCAAACATTAAACCCTCAATCTCTACTTCTAAATTGCCCAATATTCACTCTACAAGAATTTAAGCCTATCCTTTGGGTTTATTAGTTAGTTACCTTAGTCCTCAATAACATTAATAAATCATTAAATTCTTATTAATGGCATCACAATCTTCCAACCACCCATAAAAATGAAATTTTGGATATTAATGGTGCCCAACAATCCAAAAACACCAAAAATTCATTATACTTAGGTTTATATACTCTAATCTAGTCCCATTAACTCCATTTAAGTCAACAACTTTGGGCTCATAATTTATATGGATTAAAAATCATCTTTCACAATCAAATCCTAACTCAAATACTTGAGAAAATTAAAGAGAAAAGGAGAATAATGGTTTAAAGATCTTACCTTGGATGATGTGGAGCTTCAAACCTTCTCAAATCCTCCTTTAGGTTATGCCCTAGCAAAGAAAATGTGAGCTTCTTCATTTTCCTTTCCTTTCCTTTTTGTTTTTCACATTAGTTTATGTCTAAATTTTAGAGAATTCACACTGTGCATTGTGGTACCTATCCCCATACACTGCAATATGTGGTACAGAGAAGGCAAATTCTCACTTGATGGCCTTATACATCGTGACGCATCGCGTCATGTGGTATAGAGGCTTTTTATCTTGTTTTTCTTCACTTTTTGTTCCCTAAGTGACCCAATTTTACTTTGGACCTAAATTATACTTAAAATTCCAACTAAAAACACTTATTATTCTCCTCTGAGCACAGACCACATCAACTTACTTAATTATCCTTATTAATCTTAGTAAATCAAGGAATTAAAAATTGAGATGTTACAATTTCAACCCTAAACTCTTATTTGGTACATTTAAAACCTTAAATAATTAAAGTTGGTACAATTTTACCCCCATCGTCAAATTAAAGCAAACGTTTGTTACTTTTTTAAAAAAAATGAGGCCTAATATGCAATTTTCCTCAAAGAAGGTAGGAGAGAGGGGAGAATGGAATTTGATAAAAATCACAAATTGGGACTTAGTTTAAATAAAATGGACGTTTGCTTTAATTTAATGGTAGGGGCAAAATTATACTAATTTTTATTGTTTAAGGTCCAAATCACCTTTGGATCTATAGTTCAAGATCTAAGTTGCATATTAACTCATGATTTTTATTGCAAGAAACCTATCAATTAGAAATTAGAATGTATGGTTTAGCAAGGAATGAATCATCCATTAACATCCTTAAAGAAAACTACTCTCTCTAACTCCTTGCCCTCTCTCTTTTTTGATACCAATAAAGTTTAATCTTGAGTACTCATTAGGACCAAAACATACCTCCAAATTCAAATAGCTCTTATAGATATATTTTATAGATGGCCCACCAACAAGGTCCTTATATCAGTAGCAGGATTTGATCTCATGACTTTGTGAGTTATAGATGAAATCCTTACCAACTGAACTAAACTTTGTTGGTCTTCCCTGATCTCTCTTATTATATTATATTTTTGTTAAATATATCAAATTTTATAATTTTTATTCTTATTATTTAACATATCAAATTTTATGTTATTTAAAATTTTTATCACATTTATTTTTCAAACATCTGTAAAAATTACATATCATAAAAATAATGTCACTTTTAGCAATTGTACATTCAAAAGAATTTAACGTCAGGTTAAATTTTTGGTAATCCAAACAACTTTTAGTTCATCAAATTAACTTTTGAAGAAAAAAATTGGTAATCCAAATATTAATTGACTTTCACTAAATTAATTTTTATTAAATAAATTTTTGAGAAATTGACTTTTAACTAACAAAAAACCAAACAAGTACATAAACTAGATAAAACCTTTGTTAACCATCTTTCATTCATAACCAAATTAAAAT